ATATTGTGTGTTAACCCATGTTGTAACTGAAATACATGGAATCATAAAACAAGGTGTGAACTGAAATACAACAACCCTTGTTGAACGCATACGGAGGTACAATGTGATTCAATCCACACATCTTTATCCACAGTGTAGAACAACTATCTTATTAAGGGGTAGTGTGGTTTCATCCACACCACAAATGTCTTGACAGTCTAGAAGACACCCTACGTCATCACTCATCAGATGTCTTGTTTTATTTTCTAATGGGACTGTGAACTAATGGCTCTCAGCTCACAATTAGTAGTTTATCAATTTAATAATCACCACTAATCCACTTTGAGGAGACAAGGCAGCACACTAGCACGCCGACGACATTTATGTTTACCATTACAAGAAATTAGAAGAAAACAAACGCATCTCAAACACTAGGTTTTGTTTTCTTGTGAGAAAGAGGCGGTTTTCGGAACAATTAACTTCTAAAAGGTGAAAATAATTCAAAAGCCAGATGGTTAATTCAAATGTTTGTTAAGCTTTTATAAGCATCGAAATAGATGTGGATAATGTAAGATAGTTTTTGCATTGATGGAGTTGGGGGGAGGATTACGTGGGCATACATTGAGGGCAATTTGAATTTTCAAGTACTGAACTTATCGAGCAAAAATGAAACAGAATAGGTGGGGTTGTGTTAGGTGAGATTTTTAATAGGTTTTTATTCTTTAATACACTTCTTAAGGCTGTGTTTGGTTGTAATGTAAATAAATTTGTATTGATGCAAAATCATGGCAGTGTAAATGAATTGAGTGTAAATTCTGACCGATTTCTGTTTCAAATTTTAGCTTATCTTGTTCGATTACAGCACAAATAAAGTAAATTAAGACATGAAGCAGAATAAAATAAAACCCACAACAAAATTAAACAAGAATTTGTACTTTTTTTCATTCGCACTTTCGTACATTTGTATTAATGCAAATTAAATTGCACTGCAACCAAACACAACCTAAGGGAAAGTTTATTGGGCTTGAGCCTTGAAGCATGGACAATCACAAGTCCACCCAGTGCTGAAATTTAATTAATTACAATAAGGGCGATGAGAATAGAACACTTGACCACTTGATCAAGGAGACTTTGATATCATCTCAATAAACTATTCAACCTAAGAATTTAAGCTATTACGTGAGGTCTATGGATAGATTTTTTTTATTCTCTAAGACAAGACTTCACCAGAAGAAATTACTGCATCTCAAGGAATCATTGAACTTAAAAGTTTTAAGTTGTTAGGTGAAGTCATTGAATAAATTTTTATTCTCAAGGTGGACAAACAAATATATATCCATCGATACCCTGTGCTGAAAGTTATAAGGGCAAGAGGATCAAACACTAGATCATAGATCACTTGGTCATCCGTTCAACCTCAAAGCTTAAGCTGTTAGGTGAACACAACCGAGTGAAAGTGACCCATTCTAACTTTGCTTTACAGGATGTAAGCACTAATTAGATCCATGTTGGTTATTCCCGGGTCGGAAGGAAATTAACGTAGTCTCTCATTTGTCGTACATGATTTCATGTAAGCTTTGGCTTTTTAATTAAAGAAACACCCATCAAGAGAAGATATAAAAGGACCAATCCCATTTACATGCACAGTTGTATTCAGATGATCCCATTCATATTCATATTTCACAAAGGGTTAATTGGGATTGTGAACGGCAGATTAGCAAGCAAGAGTCACGGATATTGATATCTAAACTCCTTGAAGAGAGAGAGGTCGTTTTCTGTTATTCTTTTATGCAAGCGCAATTAGATAGAATGAGAAGCATTCTGATCAGAAATCCTTGATCACATGTACGTAGAACCAAGAATTTAAATTCCCAATATTAAACCATCCAAAACCTCAGGGTTTACTTGGTTCATGGGAATAAGGGTCTGGAATCGGAATCCGAATGGTTGGATTTAAACCAATTCCAATCATTCAGTTGGGCAGAAGTGAAATCCTATTTTCATTTTTAGTGAAATGACATTCTCCCATTTGAAGGAATAGCCATTTCCTCCAGTGGACTCACAATAGTCAAAACTCGAAAGTCTGATTTCTGATAATTTTGCCAAAAACCCACCACTGGAATTGTGATTAAATGTCAATGTATTGCAATCTCACTAATTTCTAACCCATAATAGTTTAATTTAGTATTAGTCACCACACGAGATTCTACATTTCAGCATTTGAATTTCACATATAGTGGAGTTGAATTCTACAGAATCAACGAGCTAGAGTAGAGAATTGAGACTTGTTGGAGACTTGGAGTACTAGGTTTTCATTAAGAAAATTAGGGGAAAAGGAAAACCCTAGTTGAAAAGAAAACAATTAATCCAATTAGGTTTTTGGTATGAGATGAGCTAAAGGAAAACTTTCCCAAACTTATTAATAGTAGTCACTAGTCAAGCAAATAAATAAGACCTGTTAACAACTACTATTATTATAATAATAATAATAATAATAATAATAATAATATAGGATTGATCAATCTGAAGTCTGAACCATTCATTCACTGTCACTCCATAGTCAACACTTAGTTTGTGCCTTGTACGGAGACTAATCGCTATGAACCACATGTATTATTTCCAAATAAAATAAACCATACTTAATGTTTAATTAAAAAAATTAGCAAATTATTGCCTTAGTTTCCTTATTTTTCAGCTATTCAAAGCTTTAGACATTTCCTTCTTTGAAATGTTTGAAAAAGAGATTGATATTGGAATTTCAAACCTCCGGATTGAGCCACAAAGGATAATTCAGTAATTCACATCTCCTGTCCTAAGTCAAAATAACAATCTTGATAAGTCAAACCCAAAATTGAGAAATTCTGATCCAACTGTTTTAGGTTTCTAGAAGGACAAGTTCAATTTGACCTTGTCGATCAAAAGCCTATCTTTTTAATTGTACGGTTTCTGCCCTTTCCATGAACTCACCGTCTCACCCTACCGCCTTCAATTGCAAGGCAATGTCATCTGATTCATGCTGAGGTGGAAGATTTTATTTCAAATATCTCCATACACGCATCAATTAAGATTAATCAAGTTGGAAAAGAGTATTCTATACAAACACATTATAATGGTAAATTACAGATAAAGTATTCTATACAATATTCTATATTTTGGGATAGTAACACTTAGGTATCATGAACTTTCGAATGCAACACTTTGGTACTCGGAACTTTAGAAATAGACCCTTAGGTCCATTTGTTAGTATTCTGTCAGTTAAACATTTTATAATATCAAAAGTACTCTTTTCATATATTTTTTGACCGTTTTGCACTTCTAATATATGAACCCCAATTTATAAATAAGCATCACAACTATACTATGTGAGCAATCTCCATCGCCATATTCTAAACTTTTATCACTTTGTTTTATCCGTAACATCAATAAATCCCTCTCTCCATATTAAAGCGGCTAGAAACATTGATAACAGTATGTATATCAGGTTACCTAGAAGCAAACAGGAACACTACATTTTCCCCTGCAATATCCTTGTTCAGTAACAGCAAAACAAGCTTGGTGGAAGACAACAATGAGTTGTTCAGATGGATTTTTCTGAACCACATACTATATTATGAATGTGAGCAACAAGATGCTTTCAGTTTTCTTCTTTCTTTCAGTCTTAAATCATATATTATTATAGACACTTATGGTTCTAATAACATATAAAAACTAGAAAACCCTCATCCGAGCTAGAGATCAGTCAGTCTGAGATTTTTGCAATTGTATTGTCTTCTATCAATGGAGTACAAATCTCAATCTATGGAGCTAGCATAATCTTAGATTAGAATAATTTGTCTTATTTCTTTACACATGCAGATCTAATAAGACTGCTTTATGAGATTTACACCCCCATTAATTTGATGGATACAACATTAAATGTCTTTTCTTCTCATATTGATCATTTCAGTACATAGGACTTTACCAAAAGATATCTTTATTTTCTTAGAACTAATACCAATCAATAAGACCGAGATATGTGGTTTGCAGTTTGCAGTTTGCAGTCAATATTGCCTAGGGTTTGTGGTTTGCAGTCAATAGTCATGTGGTTTTCTTCTTCCCAGGCAACACGAAAAGTGGAAACACAAAAGGGAGGAGGGGCTACACCTTGCTTTCTTCTCAGGTGGCGGCAATGGTTGATCTTCTTCTCAGGCGATAGCAATGGTTTCTCCTCCCCGCGGTAGTAATGGTATCTTCTCAAGCGGCGACAATGGTTTCTTCTTAGTGGCAACAACAGTTTCTTCTCAGACAGTGACAACGGTTTCTTCTCAGGCGACGACAACGATTTATTCTTAGGCGGCGGCAACAAACGATTTCTTCTTAGGATGAGCAACAGTGGTGCCCAAATCGAAAAGAACGCTACTTTAAATCAGGGTTATTTTTGTCTATTTAAATGTTATGATTTAAACAATTAAAAGATATGGGTATTTCGGTAACTTTACAATAATTTGTAACGGAAATGGGCCCAAGTGTCTATTTCTAAAAGCTCGAAATACCTAAGTGCTGCATTCGAAATTCAGAATATCTAAGTATTATGCAAAGTACGAGGTACTTATCTGTAATTATTGGATTTATTGAAATTTTGGCAAAACGTAAAAGTTGCACCCCTGTTACTACCAAAAGAGGAAAAAAGACTGTACTCCTATCTTCAGTTCTGATGCTGACCAATACTAAACTTGGTCCGGTATTCTTATCGTTATAAAGAAAAAGAAAAAAACTTGGTCCCGTATAGAGTTGGTAAATCTGCGTGTTAAATGTGAACTGGAACTGCTTTGGTTGAGCATTTTCAATGTTCTAAATAAGCTACTGAGAGTAAATTTATGTTACAGTCACGGTTCTGGTCATTCTGGATTTTCACCAAAAAGCGCCGAAGGTTTCCGTGTAAGATCCATCCTGAAACACCAAAGCCGTGTCCCCCGAAAGCCATGAGGCTGAGGACTTTTATGCAGCAACTTCTGGCATTCCAACTTAGGACCCACATGAAATTTGTTGAAAAAAATACTTATTGAACTGACAAATCAACTTTCCAGTGAAGCTTAGCATTGAAAGCTTCTTCAAGTGGCTCCATCAACATAGATCAATCAACACTGGAATGCTCCCAAACATGTGAAGCCCGTGGTAACTGGTGAAAATGGCCCCACTAATTATACCACACTCCAGTCCTGACCTAACCCTGTAAGATTGCCATTTAAAATTCTAAATAGATGGCAACTGGTGAATATGGCCCCACTAATTACATACATTTTAGGCCAAATGACAAGGAGATCAATAAGAAAAGTCAAAAAGTAGAACAAATATTGCACTATTCTAATGCAAGTTGCATATGGCGATTGAGATCGTTGAGGTAGCTAGAACTAGTGTAGTCTTCCAAATCACAGTCATCCAAGATGAGTGCCCTTCCCACAAGAGGCTTTGCCTTTGCTTCTTTTTCCCAGAACTCTACCCCTCCGTCCTCACTCAGATGCTTTACCACCTGCAACCATCACCAACAATCTACATATATCGCTGTTGCTTTGTAGTAAAAAGAAAATTTTTGGTGATTTCAGGAGATGAATAGCATTAATTATTGTTACCCAGTTCATGTGCGGTCGCATGGTGGATAAATGGTGGATGCACAAGGAAGCCGTCGACATGGCTCGCTGCATTTCGGTGATGTTGTAAGCATCTCCCAGACGAGGGTCTACAAGTTCTTTCATACTATTGGCGTCCAATAGTGGCTTTGCCTACAGAGGAAACAAAACGTGGAATAAGTAGGAAATTGTCATCCACAATAAATTAATGGGTCCCGAAACCAGCCAATTATTTTTACAAAAAAAAAATGAAAATATTTTTTTAATCACTGGAAAGCGAATCAGCTAAAGTTACGGGTGAGATAAAGCTTGAGGAGAAGTTGAACAAAAACAAAATCGAACTTTATTCAATTAATCAATTTGATGAAAATTTAAAGAAGGAATGGGCCGGACGAGTCCATAAATAAAATGTCATGACATGACAGATATGGACTCGACAACTAGGGATGTCAATTGGACTGGATTTGGTCCAATCCGATCCAGTCCAAAGTGAGTTCATTACAAATAGACCTGTCCAATCCAGTCCAATGAATATTTTGGACCATTTTGGATCGGTCCAAAGACTGTCTAACTGTTCAAATTCATGTTATTAATTTAGATTGGTTTCAACTCAAACCTGGTCCATTGACATCTATGTTCTTATCTTCTATCAATGGATCAGATATTGGTTTAATCCAATATAAATTCATTATGGATGGACCAGGTCCAATCCAATATATCATATTGGTCCATCCAATCCGTCCAAATTCAATGTCTTATTGGTCCTTCCAATCCATCCAAATTGATTTTGATTTGGACGTAATCCAACCCAAAACCAGTCCATTGACACCTATCGACAACAACCATGAATATCTGATATAAATTAAAAATTGCAGATATGTAGCACCTCCTGATTAATGAGTTCAAATAAATACAGAAGAATCTGAATTATTTAATCCAGATATTGGTAATATATCTGAAGTTCACCAGCGAGTTTCTCTTGGCTTGTTCATATGTAGACCTGTTCATGGGCCGGTGGCCCACCGGCCCGGCCCGACCTCCGAACGGGCTTGAACAGGCTTTTTGGCCCACAGGCTTAACCTCGGGCCAAAAAGCCCGGCCTGCATAAAATTTGAGCCGGGCTCGGGCTTTGCCAAAATAGCTCGGCCCGACCTATAGTTAAACCTAAGTAAAAACCCTATGCGATGTCCATTTGAATAAATTTTTTGATTTGAGAAGGTTGTTGATTCACTTGTAGGCCTATTGTTCATTTAAATAGGGGAAAAAAACATCTGAATTAAAATAGATAATGTCTATTTGAATAGGAAAAAAAAATTGATTTTCTTTTATTAGGTCGAGCTTCGGGCTCGAGCTTCAGGCTCGGGCTTCAGGCTTTTTATCAGGGCCAGGCTCGGGCCCAAGTTCTAGACCCGTTGGTCGGGCCGGGCTCAGGCTCAGGCCTATTATTTTTCTGTTAATGAACACTAAAAGCCCAGCCCGAGCCCGGCCCGGCCCGGCCCATGAACAGGTCTATTCATATGGCTGCATTTGCGAAGAGTGCAGATACAAATTCTAAGAGTGCATTTTTGTCCATGCAAATTTAAAGTTAGTGTAGTTTTGTATTGATAAATTTATTTTATTGCCAAATGTTTTTAGTTGTAATAGGTGTAAATATGAATTTTAGATTGGAATTTATCTTTTTTTTATGTTAACCAACTTTAAGTGCAAATTTTGCATCCATTTTTTTGAATGTAAACTTTGCTCTCATTTTAGATGCAAACATACCTTGAGATTTATGAAAACTGTCACATTCATTGCATACTTACCAAATACCAAATACCAACAAAAGAACCAAATGCATATATGCACCGAACCAACATGTGCACTCCTCCCGAAGAGAACCTAATGTTTTGACACGATTACCTTATCCACAAAACTTTTAAAAGGATTGCTTGTAAACTGTATTTATAACTAGGGCTGCCCATGGACTGTATATTGGTCCAATCCAACTCAGTCCTATATGAATTCATTGCAAATGAACCAAGTCTAATCCAATAATCCAATAGTTTAGATCATTCTGGACTGGTCCAGTTCGATGTCTATAGTCTAGACCGTCCAATCGGTTCTAATTGGTTTTAATTTAGATTAAATCTAATCTAGAACTAGGCTATTGACACCTGTACTCATTATCTTCTATCAATGGACCGAATATTGATTCAACCCAACCAGTTCAATATAAATCCATTACAAATGGACCAGTTCCAAATTCAATCCAATCTAATCAATATTTTAGACTATTAAGTCTAGACTGGTGCAAAATCTTATTGATCCATCTAACCCGTTCAAGATTTTATTCACACGGCTCCAACCCAAACCCGAGCCATTGACACCTCTAACTATAACGCATGTAGAATACTAATAGAAATTGGTTGATGAGAGACAAATAAGTAATGAACCATACCCACATCACAAGGCTTTGGCGACAAGAGTCAACTGCACGTCGACCCGTTATGAGCTCCAGCAGTAATACCCCAAAAGCAAAGACGTCGGTTTTTTCATCGACGATGCCGTGCATGAAATATTCCGGCGACAAGTATCTGACACAGAATGCAAGTACCGTGTTTAATTCGAAATGGTGAAGCAAATCGATGTGATTGGAATCAGAAGCAAGTATATGAATAGAGATGGCCTCACCCGATCGTGCCCTCTATGGGAAAGACAATATGGTGAGTCCACTGCTCTGGGAGCCACTTTGCAAGGCCAAAATCGGAAATCTGAACCAGATAGAGAAGCATCGAACTGTAATTAAGCATCAGAGCTGAAAGAAAGAAATGTAATAGCTATAGAGATAATACCTGAGGTTCATAATCTTGAGTTAGTAATATATTAGAGGCTTTGATGTCTCTATGGATTATACGTCTGTGGCAGCCATGATGGAGATAATTTAATCCTTCTGCTATCCCTAAAGCCACCTTAAACCTTGTACCCCACTCCAAACTCTCTTTTGTGCCTGAAAAATCTTAACATTATTCATCAATAAAGACAATACAAAAAAAAAATGTGAACTTGTTACTTGGATAAATGGGCAATCGGCCCATTCATGTCATGGTCACACCAAATAGTCTTCTATGGCAGTTCTTCCTCTAATTTTTGCAAATCTTCTAATACATAAGATGGTTAGGATCATAAGGATGGCCATATGTGCCAGAGTTGGATCTGATAAATACAATGGACTTTACCTAGACCTGATCTTGTGTGCATAAGGGTCCATAACCCATGTGTCAGGCTCGACACAGAGTTCATTTCTCTGCCTATCTATTTGTGACCACATCAGTTATGTATAGGTGGGTCCTGCGTTAGTAGTGCGCTCCATTCATAGGCAAAAATAAGAACCCACTCAACCAATTAACAATAAACTGCAGGAGAGACCAGATTCAGTCCTCACAAAATCATCCTCACACTGTGTTCACAGCCTTTTGCATGCACTTGCTGTGAACTCGGTATGAGAATTATTTTGTGAGGACTGAATCCAATTTCACTGCAAGATATTAAGAGAGAGAGAGAGAGAGAGAGGGAGGCACATCACCATGGAGCACGGAGGCAAGGCTCCCATGAGGGGAGTACTGGAGGATGAGGTGCAGACCCCCTTCCACGCCAAACCCAAGCAAACGAGCAGCATTTGGGTGATTAACGTGAGCAATAATTCCAAGCTCCGACAGAAAATTGGAGATCCGATCCTCCTCTTTCTTTATGAGTCGTTTCACAGCTATGAACTGACCATCGGATAGGCACCCTTTGTACACTTCTGCGTGTCCTCCTTTCCCAATCAATTTCTCTACCAATATCAATGAAATTCAATAAATAGTTGACAGTTTAATACCATAATTTGGGGATGATAGATAGCCAAATTGATAATAACTGGGTCGAGACAGGGTGCTACTGGGCCGAGGATAGCCGACAAGATGCACTATGCCAGTTGCGGGCATGGCCCAAGGCCCATCGCGGCCTACCGCTCAGTGATTTAAAGATTCCTAACTCAAGGGCATGAGATTTATCTCACCCTCAAAGTTTTGTGTTCTACATATATTTGTATTTGTACTCCTAACACTGAGCCTAATCGTACAAACTACAAATACAAATATGTACAGTATAAATATATATAAAATAATATAAAATATAAGGTTTTACACTCTATATATTTGTATTTTTACTCTAACTGAGCGAAAATTGAAAAGGTAACACAAAAATCAAATCTTGAATAGGACGTAACGAGATTACGCTACAAAAGCCAGCTTATCCCCTACTCAATTAGGGGGAACATTAGACGATTGCCAATGTTTCAGTGTGTGGCTGGGAGGAGCTGAATAAGTACGCAAGGCCAATCATCCTAGAAGTAACTTAACTGATTGTTCTAGTTGGATTATTAAAATTCAATTTAATGTAAGAAAAACATCGTCCGAGGATCAAAATATGTGAGAAACATCATCTGTACTCTATACTCTATAGCACCACAAGGAAAAAAAAGGGAAAATTTTTTTATTAACAAAATCATAAGCCTAACCAATGAGCCCACCTAACTCGGTTTTGGATCCCGTGGAACCTGCCCCAGGTGGCCCTAGCCAAACGAGAGAGGGAGAAACCCTGCCCCAGGTACCCCACCTAAGTACCTAATTCGGTTTTTATAGGTTTCCTACATAACCTAAGTGCCTTACGGATAGGGCTGCAACTTGGGATAGGTTAGCCCGAACTGAACCCAAAAAAAAGGTAGGGATAGGTAGACTGCACTCCACCTCAGATATCTGAAATTACAGACCCCTTCTAATTTACTAGTAATCTTCCTATAAACCGTATCCTGCCGTAGATTTGGCATCAATCCATGGTCAAGATTCACCCCACCTGTAAGGTGGAGCTAAGATTTTTAAGGATGGACTGAACAGTAAAACCCCCAAAAAGTAAGGCTGGGTTGACAATAGGGTTAAAGTTGCAATTGACTCAAACCCGACTCTACTATTGCTATTGTACAATGTATATTATAGTCCTATTACATACTACCATAATCTATTTATAATTAAGCCCTAAATTTAAATGACAAGTTTCCATTAGTAAGTTTTATTCCATAATCTTACTATCGTTAATCTCATAATTCCAGATTTTCAATAGGAGAGGTATCATAATTCATAAGAGAATCATTTAAAACATTAATTTTTTTAATCTTTTAAAGACCGACTTGGAGGCCAAACCATTTTTGCCTCCAAGTCATGTAATATATGTATATATAAGTACTATTTTGTGCTTAATTTATATTTTTAATTCAATATTTTATTTTATATTTATAGAAATGCTAAATTTGCTATTTGAGGCAAAGAAATGGTTTTTTGGCGAGGAAGTATAAATCTCGAAAAATTACCTAAATAAGAAAAAAAAAGATCATCACAACTAAGCGCAAAGTTATGACCTCCGAAATTTTGTATATACATTTAGTGTACAACCTATGCCTAGTCATTGAGTTGAATGGGTCAACAGTCCAACCATTGGAGCCAAGATAATTTTTGACCAAGTTAATGGTTTTTTACTAAAATTTGGGTTTAGGAGAACAGGACCCAAAATCATGGCCAAGCGACAATTTGAACAATTCAACTAGCCGAATCAACAAATAGTTAAAAACACTATTTTTCCACTTTTATATTCAAAATAACCAATAAAAACATCAAATGAGCAAAGACCAAACAAAAATATGGTCAATATACAGTCATAAAAGTTGAGTTTTAGGTCTTAATCAAAGATTAAAAGAATTTGAAAGATTTTATGAGATTTAAGGGGCTAGTATAAGTTCAAATGCAAATGTGCTCAAGTATTATATGATGTAAGGTATTTGAATTTCACTTTTATGACCTGCATCAAAATCAAGGCAAACATCGATTTTATATAGTATAGATGTAAAGTTGGTGTTGGGCCCAACCCGAGTCCATCTCAATCCAAAATCAATTTTGAGTTGGATTGGAGTTAAGGGATTTTAGATTGGGCTAAGGTTAAGATTGGCTAGGTCGGATTGGAGGTTCAGATTAGGATTGACCTAACCTGGCCCCACAATCCCTACTTAAAGAGTGGTAACGACTTTTACACAATTGGGTTGTGAAACAGTGAAAAATGAAAGCCCACATTGCAATTGCCACTGCAATTAACAACCAAAAAAGGGGCCAAAAGCAAGATGGAGTACTGACCCAAGCACGTTAAAGAATAAAGAACGACATGATGGACGGACATGGAGAGAAATCATTCAACTTCAAAGCCCTGAGTGACCTTATAAAGAAGGAAGAACTGAAGAAAATTCTCTCTTTATTAGTCTTTGTCACATGGTGAGTGCGTGGAGACAGAAAATCGGAAACATGTGGCCCCATTTAGGTTATGAGTATGACCTAACCTACCACTTTTGGAAGGAATGTAAACGAAAGAAAGGAGATTGAAATTTGCAAGCCCCTTGTCTAAAGAGCAAACCTGATTTCCATATTTCAGAAAGAAATGCGGGGAATGTTTCAGTCAGTCACTCACTCACTCATAAATGTTCGGTCAAAGAATGGTTCGTCCCGGTCCGACCCGGATTGGGTTAGCCAGTTCCCGTTAATCTCGCCCCGAAATTTTGTAAGACCAAGTCTATAAGTCTATTATAATGGCCAACTCTTTCTTATAGGGTAGGGGCGTAGGGCTCATTAGGCCCACAAATTTGACCAGAACAGAACCCACTTTGGACAACCGGAAAGAATCAATCCAATTGGACTGATCCTGGTCTTTAGAGATTAGCCCATAATGCACGTTCTGTTAGTGCATTGGAGGCCCACCAAAGCTATAAACAAATAAAAAAATGGAAAAAGAATAAACTGGAGTAGGCCATCGTTATTCGCTAATTGCTACTACATGGTCATCATGTTATTCATGTTCCAGTTCTAGAGAGATATGATTCCAGTTTCATGGGCTTTTGGGTAATTTAATTGAGTTTCTAACCAAGCCAATTAGCCAAAGAAAGGAGCAGTGGAGCAGAAACCCAGCAACCAACAGAGAAATAAGAAAAAAAAAACCGTGAAAGGCGGAGATAATAAAGCTAAATTATTGTAATTTATCATTATTATGAAAAAAAGGAGGGAAGTGGAAGGTTTTCTCACCGGAACTGAAATTATCGGTGGCGGCAGCGAGCTCCTGGTAACTGAAGCTCCTCCATGAGGGCTTTGGCACTGACTTCCCCCCACAATCAATCCCATCGTGGGCGCTACGAATCCGAGCTAACTTCCTGCTTAAACTTCTTCTCGACGTCTCAGAGCTCGTTAGCATGGGAAACGTCGAAAGCCTTTTCATTGATTTCTTCTTTATAACATCAAGCAAATTCTTCCACTGTAACCCATGAGACTCCGAAACCACAGCTGAGTTAGGAATCAATTTCTCCGAGGATAAGGAGCTGCAGCTGCTGCTACTGCTGTTGTTATCTGAATCCATTCCCAAAATAGGGATTTCCAATACACCTCTTGGGGAGCTGTGATCCTCATTAAACTCCGGTTTCGTAAGACCACCATCTTCAGATTCCCTTCCTGGGCTTTCCTGGGTTGCTCTGGTTTCTACAAAAACAACAATACGAAGGGGGAAAACAATTTAAACCATTAAAGCTTAAAAAAAAAGGTAAATAAATGAAGGTTCGTTGAAGAACGATGCTTGCCTTCCGGAGAGGTCATTTGGGATTTCTGAGTTTTCTCAATCTAGATCATATTACCGTCCTCTGTTCTAACTTTTGTCATTTGAGGTTGAGCAGAAGATTCAGACAACAGGGAAAAAACAGAGATTTTATTTTCATATCGGCTGTGCGGGATAAGATAGAGGAAGAGTGGCGACGAAGAATAGAAGATTGTAGGGATTAGGGAATATCTCTATGTTTTCTCCCTCTGCTTCCTTCCGAGGTGGTTATTCTCTCTCGAAGCACAGACTCCAGACAGATAAGCAGCAGGCGAAAACTAGCTTCCTGCTTCCGAGTTCCGAGGTGGTTACTTATATATCCTTGGTCGTGTGTTTAGTATCTCCACCAACTCTTTTTTCTATACAAAACAATCCAAGCCGTCCGTTGCTTTGATTTGACGTACGTGGCCAATGCCGTAACAACCGTTTGCCCATGGCCCCACTCTCGACCAAAACAAACCAACCAACGCAAGTAATCCTGATTATCAATGCCGATTTGAGAAAGGACCATCCTCCTCATGCTACGGCCTAAGGGTCCCACCTTGACCAACCAATAAATAATTCAATAATTCGTAACGGAAATTTCCAACCGTCCGATCAATCATCTTCTTTTGTCAGAAACAAACAAGACCACTGATCAAGTAATCTCGCAATTAATAAGAACAGGCATTATCCCGTACAGCTCTTAAATACCGTACTCGGTAGTCAGTACAGTACAGCCGTACAAGCAACATCTGTTCCATTTGGTGGGTTGACATCTCATCGTGCATCGAGAATATCTTCCGAAAGTTATCATTTGAGTTGCTCCCAATACACGGTTCGGATGTGCTGTGGGTCGCCAATCTCATCTCCCATTTGGCCCAACCAAGTTACGATTCTGGTGTTGCTGAGGCGTGCGCAGATCAATGTACTCTGATACCTCAAGGGCCGTTGTTGTTTTTGTGGGCGATTCAAATTTCGAAATTTTCAATCAGTTGTCAAGTGTTGGCGCTTCAGTGCAGCAGATGTTGGATTGATGATCATTAGGATTTCTTTCGATGATTAAGATCGTCTGTTGTTAGCTGCCTCGGATAATCTCACAAACTCCGAATCACGAAAAGAAAATAAAAAGGCTAACAACGGGTCGGGTCTGGGTAAAATAACAACAAATCCGACAATAAATATTAAGGTCTCAGAACCAAATCAGACCCTATAAGGTCTGTCGTCTGTAATTTTATACCCATTGGATTTTTTTAATGCTGGGTTAATTGGATCTGATCTAATAGATCCAATTATAACAAATGTGATGAAAATATTACACATTTAATATATAAATATATATTATATATTTAGGCTTGAATGAGGCCTGAATCGATTCAGGACTGGGCATGGTTTTTGAATCGCCGTTGATCCAGACAGTCACTATTCGGCCCAGAAATCATTTAGGCAATTGATTCTGTTTTATTTCAAATTTGATTTTTGGCCAAAAATCGTTTGAATCGATCAATGATCTATTGACTCAAGTGGTTGAATTGTCAATTTATTCAGAACGAACCATCCATTTAAATCGGACGATTAAACTATGAACCCGAAAACCAATGGACAAAAAGGTTCTATTTCCAAATCATTTTTTAAAATTATGGGACTGGATAGAACCTGTCTGGGAGCAACAACAATCAAGACAATAGATTAAGAACCCAAATTAACCGATCCTAAAATCAAAACTCGCCCAATGGATTTGGGTCCATTAGGTCAGACCCAACCATTGACAGCTCTAATATTAAGGTCTAACATCTAAGAGCCGAAATGGCTGAAAGCAGTGTCATTCAGTTCAGACACTTCAACAAATCATTTAGTTAAAGGAGTTGGTGAACTGAACGGCCCCCATCAGGAGTTGGTGAACTGAACCAGTTATGTGAACCGAAATGTTAATCCCAATAAACCTACTGCACCCTGTAATTTCACATGAGATAGATATGGACGTAGTCAGTAGTCATCCAGATAATGGACCTAATTTGACTGATGAATCTCTAGCTTTTTTTTTTTCCAAAGCCCAGGTGACTATGTCCATGTCCATAACAGTGAAGCACCGAAAGTGCGACAAACGTTTTTGAGTCTTTTTGACTGCTCTATTCTCATTTCTCACTATTCTATTCACGTATGCTAATCTCTCTTTTAGGCTGTCTTTTTTGTTAGAATTTTAGGATATGTTCAACGTGAAACTAAATAAGAGAATAGAGTTGCAAATGGATCGAATTTGAACCATGGTATATTTGAATTCAATTAGATATTGTTTGTATCGAATCTGATCTAACTCAAAGATCTGGTCGAATTTGATAGGACTTGATTTAAATTCAAATCTTATTGGTAAATTGGATCTTCAGATATGATTCGATTCAACTTGTTTTCTTTAAAAATTAATAAGTTATTAAAAGAGAAATAAAATAAAAAACAAAAAATATAAATATTTTGTAACTATTTTCATCACATATATATATGTGTGTGTGTTTTTATAAACAAAAATAAATAATATAGTAAATTTATAAAAATATATATTTATAAATAGATAAATAAATAACATAATATATATTGGATCAGATCTTCTCATATCGGGTAGGGGTGATCCAAATCCAATCCAATTACATATGGGATCATATTATCCAATTCAGACTGATCTGAATTCAACCAAGTAAGATTGGATCATGATCCGATCCTTTTGCACCCATATAAGAGATAAGCATACAATTGAGGGAATTTTTTAATTATACCAATGCCCCATTGACATTTAGAATCCTTTTGATTTGCAGCTAAAATTGGAATCAAAATCCTTCGGAATCAGAATGGTCTATTCTCATAATCTGTTTGGTTTAAACAATAACGTGATTTCATTCCCAAAAGGGAAGGGATGGAATGATCATTCCCTCGAATAGGGGAATGCTATTCCACCAAGAATGAGAATGAGATTCCGATTCTACCCAGCCAAACAATTGGTCATTCCAATTCCAAACCCCTATTCCTGCAAACCATTCAAACCAAACAGAGCCTTAGAGTATAACAATCATTCATTCTATTTTAGTTGGAGACTGTTTTGAATCATAAATCCGTGTGACAGGGTGTTTCGAGCACTAGAAAACAAAGTCTCAACATCCTATAAGTAATGTGTGGTGCTACAATGGATGATAAACACACATTCTTCATCAAATAAGATGCAAGTATAAATAATGATATCTGTCTTTCAAGCATAAACCGTGTTTTAATTCAAAGCATTGCAAGTTGAAATTTCAGAAATATGCAGTACTCTTTCTACATCAATATCTCAACTCACCCTATAAATTTTTAGTTCAGTTTGTGCACATGAGATTTATTGTTGTAGTTTGATCAGTCAACTAAACCTACTTACTTTATTTGTTTTAAAAATATGAAATTGAGGTTGGAATTGATAAACAATAAATGAGTATCGATTATTTAAAACATGGAAGTATTCCACTGCTCATAAGCGTGAGGCATGGTTTATAATGCAAATTCATTTCATTCCCTTCCATTCAATGTTGAAAGTATTGAGAATCTTGATATGCAAAATTTGCCTATTAAGAGTTCCATTAAAGTAACTTTTATTTATTTATTTATTTATCTTGTTATAATTTGTTGTCAATTGAATGTCATATATCGACCTGTTCATAGGCCATGCTGGCCCAGGTTTGGGTCAGGCTTTGTTTTTATATTAACAAAACACATTTAAGCTCGAGCCCAAGCCCAGCCCAACGATTGGGCATAAGTCTTGAGCCTGAGACTGGCCCTCATATAAAGTTCGAAGTCCAATCTAAAAAAAAATAGGAAAATGATTTTTGTTATTCAATAAAAAAACTACTTTATTTACACCAAAATACCTCAAAACCCAAACATAATGAGCAATCTCACTATGACTTTAAAAAAGAAAAGAGGAACAAAGAAAATAACATATATATATATATATATGTATTATCAAGTCAGCCTCGGGCTCGAACTAGGCTTTTTTGAGAAAGTCCGAGTCCAACTCGAGGAAAAAAGACATGTCTTGTGTTTTGGGCCTGAGCCCAAGTTCACGAAGTCTAAATTCACGTCCAAGCCCGACTTGGACCTTATTTCTATTTATTTTCCTTTCCTACTGTTTTTCTCTTTATTTTAATTCTTTTTCTTATTTTTTCTTGTGCTCTTTTCTCCCCTCCCCACCCTTCCGTTTGTTTATTTGAAAAAAAAAAAAAGTATGAATATGGTCCCATGGAAGTTTTCTTGACTAAATACCCCTCGTCTTGAATCTTGCATTACCACATTTTTGTTTCTCATCGTTAAAGTCCACCAATTAAATCCTCACACAATAATCTTAATGATATGTAAACTTGTATTTTTAAGACATACCTACAAATTAAATCACATTTTCTATCTATGTGATAGGTAAGCAATTCAACCGTTATGACCCATGATGTCATAAATAAATAATAATAAATTTTAAAATAGAAAAAAACAAGAATATTAAGAATAAAGAAACTTTGTAGAAAATTTTGGCACATTTCTATTACTGCGTATTTGTGATCATATTAAAAGAAAGACAAGTATGACAAATACTTTTTTTATTAACGAGGAAAATGGAACATAAGAATTTAAGAACAGAAAATGAAATCATTTTCCTACTTGGATGGTGGGTTAGTGGTTCAAACATTGAGGTCAAATGTGTCAATTAATGACACCATGGTTAAAAATAAAAAGAAAAAATACAAAATACAAAAATGTATGGAACAATTTTGACACATCTATAATACCATGTATTAATCATATTAAACAAAAAATAAGTATGGTAAAACTAAAGTTATTTTTATTAGTAATGTTGTAAATGAAATATAAAAATTAAAACCAATCTAAAATTGAAACCAGTTGGAGATGTGTTTGGGACCATTGTTGACATCAGAAAAACCGACACCACTTTAAAGTCATATCAACAATTCGGAATTTATGAGAAATATTAAAAAAAAAACATGTACAAATCGATTATGCAAATTGGGCCTAAATGAAGAACTGTCATTTTCGATAGTTCCTCATTTATTTATTTTTATTTATTTATTTATTTATTTATTTATTATTATTATTATTATTATTATTATTATTATTATTATTATTATTATTTGCGTTAAATGACATGGGATCCAACATAGAGCCATGAAAATGTTGCAACAATGAAAAAAACCACTATTGGGAAATAGTTCCAAACAAAACATCATTGTTGATTTCTTATAAACTAGCTTATGTGACAGCAATGGAAACAAA